AATAGATAAGCTTTGAAATTAAATTTAAATTTCGTTCGGGTGCGGTGTCACACACAAGGATCTGAATTTTTAAATGAATTTGATATCTGAATTTTTATTAAAAATTGGGGGGAAATATTTTTATTTTTTTTTTAAAATTAAAATGTTTGTCATGGACTCCGGCCGTGACAAAAGTTTAAACTTTTTAAAATTTTATAAAATTATTCCGGTATAAAACATTTTTTTAAAATAAAAATATTTGTCACGGATGTTTTGCGTGACAAAGTGAAAAATTTGAATTCACAACGAATTTTCAACTTACCCACCCACCCTATTCTGTTTTTTTTTAATTCACAAAATATTTGTCACGGATAAATCCGTGACAAAATGAAAATTTTGAATTCAAAACATTTCGACGTACCCGCCCAACCTATTTCAGAAAAATTTTTAAACCTATTTTGTCACGGCGTTGCTCCGGTAAGCTGTTTTGTCACGAAAATATGTCGTGACTAATCCGTGACAAACTTTGTCATGGTCTCGTAGCTGTGACAAATAGTTTGCCACGCCTGATTTGTCAGTGTGTGTCCGTGACAAAATCCGTGACAAAAAAAATTGTCACGATTTTTTTGAACTGTTTGCCGTGAAATTCCGTGACAACCGGGCTGTGTTTTTGTAGTGTGTATTAGATGAGAACTTTCTCTTGCTTGTTTTCCAGTTGTGCTACTCACCATTAATGATTTTTAGTCATATTTTGATCAATCAAGTCTGTAGTCATATAATGGGAAATCTTCTCACTTTTGATAATAATGCGGTAAATTTCCTTAAAATTAAAATTGATTGAACTATTTTTAACAAAGCAAGTTTCATTATTATATTAATGACAAAAAGCCATTGTATATCATACATTCAAAAAATGATTGATGTACATTGATAAATAAATATAATTATTAGGTAAATATATAAAGTTCAAAAACCTTTCCAATCTCTTTCAATTTACAGTATGAAATACCTTTATAAATTATAACCTTTATATAAAAAAAAGTACATGAAAAACACTAAAAGATTGATCCTAACTAGGATTCCTAGGTTTCTTGTTTTCCAATTTCACCTTTCTATAACTTTATTTATTACTTAATCTATTTCAAACAAAAAATACCTAAAAGAAAGATCGATACAAAACCCCACTTTATTTTTTTTAATCCTTCACGCTAATCCAAATAAGCAAAACTACGTATGGACTATGGATATTAGTTGAGAAAGAATAATCTTGAGGAGAAATGACAAAAAAGAACAAACAAGCACCAAGAAAAATATAAGGTCTTGGAAAAATGGGTAAGCTAGAAAGAAAGCGGAATAGCTACGAATTCATTCGGTAGTTGCACCATCTTTTTCCCACACCGAATAATATAGCAAAGTACTGTCCAGCACTGGTTATATAATGAACCAACTTAACTTCACAAAACTCAAGAAGCCATGCGTTGAACACAAAGCGAACTATTCTTTCGCCTTTTACCAAAGAATACTGTGTGCACGGCGCAATAAATGGCATACTCCCATTTTTGGAATGGTGACTTCCTCTTGGAAGGCACTACACAAATTTAGTAATAATCTTCCTTGTATCAATGCATTAGCTCTTTAATCTTGTGATAGTTCTTCGAGGGCTGCTGTTTGATGTTGTTATTGCATTATTCATGTAGGTTCTCGACGTGATAAATTGGGTTTATAGTGGCTTCTCAAAGACTCAAATCAATGATACAGTTATTAAAAATTACATATTAATTAAAAATGCTGATAAAAGTATATTTTGAGAAATAAACTTTATAGGTATATAATCTAGTGAAATTAATAATGATAATTGTGATTGTTGGTCCAAAATAGGACGCTCGTAGGCTTTTAGGAAAGCTACGTACGACACTCAAGCAAGAATTAGGAAAGTACGAATATGGAAAGTTAGCCAGAAATAGCATATCTGTATTTGAAATTCGAATTGCCTTTTATAGGCGATTACAAATGGTAACTGCCGAACATAATAATGACTAAATTAATTACAACATTAAACGGAATTAAACACATAATTAAGTCGCGCATTGATCGTTGGCCGTTACTTTTCCTGGCTGGCAGGCTGGACGCTTGAGCTCCCTCCTGCTGGACTGGACGGTGGGCTTCCCGCTAGGCTGGAGGAAGGCTTCTGACCGGGCTGGAGGCAGGCTCCCGGGTAGGCTGGAAGGCAGGCTCCCCGTTGGGCTGGAGGCAGGCTCCCACCTGGGCTGGACCGCAGGCTCCCAGTTGGGCTGGATCGCAGGCTCCCAGCGGGGCTGGTGGTCGGCAGGCTCCTGGCTAGACTGGAAGGCAGGCTCCCCACTGGGCTGGAAGGCAGGCTCCCCACTGGGCTGGAAGGCAGGCTCCCCATTGGGCTGGTCGACAGGCTCTCTTGGGCTTCCGCTCCTTGATCGCCCTAATTGGTTGGGCCGACTCGTGCTCTAGGTTGTTGGACTTGGGCCCGCTGGTCCGAGTTCGGGGCCTGGGCCGATTAGGCTCTGGGCCTGGTCCCATAACCCCATCAGTGATGTTATAAATGTATTATTGTTAAGGATAACTACGGAAAATGTACATATGGTTGGACCTGTTTTCATATATGTCTCATTTTTTAACAAAGTGAGCCTTGTGTTTAAACTCCATAATCACGAGAGGGTCCTGACGTCAGATGCCGTTAGAAATCGCCGGAGGAAGATGATGAACAGTAACCAAGAGGAATTATTCTCAATTTCCACAACGGCCCACACAATCGGATACATTTGATTATTTGTGTCCCTTCCAACGGCTGTAAGAATTTCTCCTTTGAGCTGCCCTTTAAGAAAAAAACCATCCACCCCAATTACCTGTTTACACCCATTAAGAAATCCATTTTTCAATGGTCCAAATCATATGTAAATTCTCTGAAACATACATGGACCATCAGGGACAACCCTCACAGTCTTAACAACAACAGTGCTCCCAGGTATTGACTTCAAGCACTCCTCAGCATAATTCCTAACTCTCTTAAACTGATCTTTAAATGCAGACTTTGTCTTTTCTTGTATTCCCCTTACGGCTCTAGTAGCCATGCTAATAGAAATATTAATGTTTAGTTCTGCTTTAACTAAGGTTTTGAACTCTACAGCACCAATGCATGGATTTTCAGTGACCTTGTCTTCAAATCTTTCCTCTAACCATTTTTGGCTAACGATCTTCAGTTTGAACTTAGAATTGCACAAATGCTCACTTTTCAACACCTTCACTTGAAAGCATTTCAGACGCCTCTCCCAACTGGCAGTACAACGAAAAGGACAGGTGACACCACACTTTACCCTTACCCTTGTAGGCTCATTTTTAATAAAATGAATGTCTTTTTTGTTATGCACTGCATACCGTATGATAGCATCCTTAAACTGCCTACCATCTTCAAAGAGCATGGCCAAATCTATTAAAGGAGGATCAGATTGAGGGTTATATGAAGAATGGATGGGTTTCTTTCTTTTAGGCTTAACAACTCCACTTTCTGACTCCTCATCTGAGTCCAAGCTACATGGATTATCTGAGTCATATTCTGTACTACAGTACTCAGAATCAGAACTGCCCAGCTCTTTTGTGCCACCTTCTACCTCTTCATTATCACTCCTTGTACCTTCATCAACAATCTCAACATCTGATGCATACGGCACCTCCCAAAGTTCTTCATCCTCTAAATCAACCCCACGGAAGTTTGTAGGAGTAGTGTCTTCCATTTATTCATTCACTGCACTAGCACCATTGTCCATCTCTTTATATTGTTCTTCCTCTTCAATGGATTGTTCTTCTTCTTGATGTTGTGAACCAGTTCCCTCAGTGCTATCATTTTGTATGACTGGAGCAGATCCCTCTGGTACATTTGCTGGTGATTTTTCAGCATGTGGTGCAGGTAAGGGGAGGACATCTACCAACTCAACCTCATCCAAACCATGTTTTATATACACATCACATTTTCCATACCTTGTAGCTATATCTATTAAGTGCAAGGTTGACTCGTCATTGAACAGCTCATGTAGAGTCCTCATAGGGTCAGTGACTTTCTTAAAATAAAGAGCTTGAATATTTCCATACTTCCCAGATTTGAGGAATTTCATCAGATGAGGGTAACATATCAAATCAGGATCTGTTTCCACGTTACTCACTTCTCCTCCCAGGTACATACATGTGGGGCTGGTAATGAATGTCCCCCCATGATGAATTATTAGTTCAACCCTGTCAAACATTCTGAAAAGCACGTGGTTGGTTGGTATGACTTCTAGTGAGCATATAAAGATTAACATGATATAGCTTACTCTAATCACATAATAAAGAACATAACGACATCAAAAGGAATGTAAGCACTGATTCTGCCCATTAAATGTTCAACAAATCAACAAACAAACCAATCACAAATGGGTCCCAAAGGTTAATGTACCGTTCCAAAGTTCTCATAGAAGTAAATATACATACCTGTAATGCGCATAACTAAATGCGAGAAGTAATGTCAACCACCCACGCGTTGTCCTCTCTAGTTCATAGCCGACTCCAAGAACGTGAAACTTAGGGTTAAAGTAATTTGGGGGGGGGGGGGGGGGAATGGTCGTTGAAGCTGGGTTATAAGAAATATAAACGACGCTTACAAAATGCTTACATGGATAATTGCAGCCACATCACTACCCATGTGAGCAATTAACCGGCAAATCGGGAGCACACCGACTAAAATGTGATTTTTGTTTTTTTTGTAAGTTGGGGGATTTAATTGGGGGATATATAATTAAGTAGGAGGGCCTAATTGACGTTTTTTCAATAGTACGAGGGCCTATTTGATAGTTTTCCCTTTATGGAATGAATTTTTATATAAATTTCAGAACAAGAAATTTATGCAGAACGGGGTGGGAGTTGTTGATGTGGTGCATTGTGTGCGGTGACACAATTGGGAAGGTTTAGAGATTTTCGCAAAGAAAAAATGGGCCAAACAATTGGATCAATTTGAATAGCCTGTTAGTTATATTGAAATTGATTGAATTGATTCAATCTGTTCAATTTGACAAAGTTTAATTGAAGCGACCACACTGGCTGAATTTGTTTAATTATAGAAAAAAATATTTAAAATATCTTTTATTTATAAATTAAAGAAAAAATTAGAAATATTTTAAAACTATTCCTGAAATAAAAACTATTTACAAAAAATTGCTGAAATAAAAGTAATTTACAAAAACAGGACTAAAATTAATATGGATATAATGTCATGGTCACATGATGTGAAAATTGAATATAAGTTACGTGAAAAAGTAACTACTATAGTCACTACATTTAAGAGGTCATGTTTCACAAACAATCTTTATTTTAGTCATAGTCATGTAGTTGTCTCAGAAAATTATAGACGGGTCTTGATCAGTAACGATACACTTAGGTGCGTGTCCCATTGCATTTAGAAAACAACGGAACAACCAAAAATATGATTCAATGTCTTCTTTAAATAGAAGACCGGCACCAAATGTGACACATTTTTTGTGATTGTCGACACCGGTGAAAGGTGCAAAAACCATATTGTATCTGCAAAGAAAACTGCGTTAAGCTGATGTGCGAAGCTAGAATTTATTAAAGTATGTGTGCATAGAAGCAGAAATCGGTGTGCATAACATATTAAACGGATGAATAACATATTTTTGAAAGTAAACACCAATTAAAGAAGTAAATTAGTTGAGCACAAAATAGTGCTTACGAGTGCATGCAGTTACATGTTTATAAAATAATCAAATGTTTGAAATTAAACATGGGTTTAATAATACTAATTAAACACAAATAAAGAAATGTGCAAAAATTAAATTACAAAAGTGTAGAACCTGTTAGTCCCATATGTAGCATCGAAAAAAGCACATCTTCAAAAAAATCACTCTCATCAACGTCATACTCAAAAATATATGCTGAACAAATTTCTTGCTTCCGAAAAGCTTATCAATTAGCATTTGAGCATCCACGCCGGAAATATATGCCTTCAAATCTCGCTTAAAGTTCTTGAAATCAACCGTCGTTGCACCAATATTGCAATATCCTCCAACAGTTTCCTTGTACAGTCGGTATGATTTCATAGTTCCTATATTAGCCTTTGCACAATTGAGAACAAACTTTTGATGACCAAGATCAAGCTTCCTGTTTACTTTAAGAAACGGTCTGGCATCAAGAGACGACATAGGATGATTGTGGCGCTCTTCAAATAACGTAATAATCTTATGTGCTTTACAGCCAACACGGTTTGATACACGGTGACGCCTCTGTTTTTTTTTCGGTGTCGGGAATAGCATGGGAGGATTCTGGATGCTCTGGAAAAACGTGAGCCTCTGCATCATCATTTGAACATTCAGTGTGTTCATCACTAACAACACTAAAAGGCATAACATGACTAGTTTCTGGAGGATTGACTTTAGCAATATTTTTGAAACCAGCTCTATTGCACACAACATATTTCCACACAATGGTGTTCGTCCTCGGCCGGCGATGCTTAGTTTGAGAACCAATACGAGAATCGAAGCCACAACAAGCTGCATATTGCTTATAAAATTCAATACCATCCTCGAGGGTTTTGAATACCATGTCAAGCTTTGGTTTAAATGATTCATCACATTCCGGGATCCAATACTTAGTTAATCCAGGAGAAATTTCTAAAGCTTCTACAAGAGTGAAAAAAACAAACATAAACGATGAATGACATTGGTTCAAGAAAACAAATGAAACAAAGAAACACGTAGAACAAAAGAAAGGAAGTTAAAAAACATACCTTTGTCTATTAATGGAGCTTCGGAGTTTTTGGGGAGGAAGAGACAGTCGTAGAGAAGTTGGAATTCACGTGCATGGAATGGCCGGATGGCATCCATAACTGAAAAGGAAATAAGTAAGACCTAATTAATTGACAAACAATAATGGAAAGAAACAATAGAATGGGTCTTGGCTGGATACCTATGTACAAAAAGAAAAAAATGTCACAATGACCATCATGGCCTGCCCATTCTCATGTTAGAATTAAAAACAATGAGTTGATCTAATGGCCTGGATTGTTTCTTATTTATCTCATTAGATGGTGTTCTTATTTGAACCAAACTCTCTCTCTCTCTTATAATCTGTGTCACAATTATTCGTGCATCACGAGAGTGAATTACTAACAAAACATTTTACTAAAAGAAAGGATTTTAACAGGGCGTAGTGCGGAACAGAAGGTGTTAATTCCCGAGTATTGCTTAAAACCTTCATATGTCAGCTTGACATTCCAATTCCGGATACGACAATACCCTAAAATGACTTAATATGTCATTATCGCGTGTTGGTTTGTTGTTCAAAAAACATGTTTAACCATGATTAACTTTACGTGATTGTGTCTAGAGTAATCAATGATAGAGGAACGAACATTGAAACAAACATTTTTGTGTACAAAGAAGTGTTTCTTATCATTTAGCATTACATTATGTGTGTTTCAAATTATATTTATAACGCATCACTGTGTGCTACTTACCATTTTATGGTGTTATAAAAATTTGTGTACTACTCCATAATCAACGATAAATCATTATTAGACATGTTTCATGGATATATCAAGTTTTAATTGATTAGGGGGTATAATACTAAATGATTAAATTAGAGTTACAAATTTGCATTTTTATACATATGATACATAAATCGTAATTTGTTTTTTATACACATGAAATTTCACCAACCGTGCATCGCACGGAGATTTGTATGTTGCAGTATCAAGGGTTACCAATCCTTGTGGTTTGAAAGTTCTAATTGTTGATGAAGATGAAGAAACCACTGACAAGTCTCAGAATGTTGTATTCAAAGAAGTGTTCAACAATGTTTAGGTTTACATGAAATACATATTTACAATGTTATGGTTTCTACGTATTTGTTGGATGTTTTTTATCTTTTAAGTAATGGTTAGTGCTCTCTTTTAACCATAATATTATAAGTGTGTTTCATTCATTGCTTTGATCTACAACAATATTCCATAGAGACAGATGTTGTCATCAATTGATAGTATAATTTGAATCAGTGAGCACAAATAAATTTGAAAGAAAAATTCTTTGATCGTGCATCGCACGGGTGAGTTTACTGGTAAAAGTAAAAACACATCCAAAATCTCCAAATAGGTGTACATGTTTTAAATCGTTAAAATATGAGTCACAATTACTTCTCTGCCCCTTACTGTTTATCAACCATCTTAGAGTTTAGAATTAGACTTTCTAGTGTTTACGACATATCCACTTAAACCTTAGCTGTGGCTGCTTGACGGAGCTGACAGCGGTCGACGTCTGTTGAGAGTTGGCGGCGGCGGAGATGGCTGCCCGATGGCGGAAGCTGTACCAAAAGGTATTTTTTTGAAAGTTATACACTACAATTTTATTCTGGGAATTTAGAACTTCTTATCACATGTTAATAGTCTTCTTACAATAGTCTCACATTACCGTAATTCAGAAATAATCTCATCTTTGCACCATATCCTCTGTCATCGGTCCCTCACCAGTTGAGGACACGATATTTCAGGCTATTCTCTTTTCTTTTAAAAACATTAAACCATAAATCTCACATTAGCGAATCTTCTCCAAACGATCTCACATGCCATTTTTCTTTTTTCTACCTAAAAGTTTTCTCTTTGTATTTTTATCCTCTTGACTCTTCTATTCCTTTTTTTGTCTTTTTGTTCTTAATTTTATTTCTGTTTCATGTTATGTATTCCATTTGCCTTCTTTTTCTTCTTCCCATTTATTATTTTATTTCCGTTTTTATGTATTTTTTCGGATTAGTTCCCTTCTTATACAAGATTTTTTCTCATGTTACTAACTTTTTAGTTTACTTTCTTTTTACTTACACTTATTTAAACAAAGTATATTAGTCGTGGAATCAAGGTAAGAAAAGAAAAAAAGAAAAAAACTCTTAACATTCAAGGTAAAAAACAATTATTTCTGAATTACGGTTACATGTGACCATTGTAAGAATACCGCTAAAATTCTAAAATGGAAATCGAAGACATATAAAAGCACAGTGGAAAGACTAAATAACTCTTAACATAACTTACTCTTTGGTATAAACATAAGCGATGAAATAAACTACTCCCTTCGTTTCGTAGAATGATTCTCACACGGTTTACGGTGTTTGACTAATCATAAAGTTAATTGATCCCTATCCGTGATTAGTTTTTTTATATTAGAAACTACATTAATAGTTTCATAAAGTCATAAAAGAAAAACTCAAATTTCATAAATCTTGGATATATAAAGTAAAAGATTAAGAAGACTTTAACTTTACAGGAGAATAGTGGACGGGAACCTTTGAATGAGACGGATGTTGTATATCTTATACATTCTGTAACAATTAGAATGTTAGAGTTGAATAATCCGAACACGAACAAATTCTGTAATAATGACATGGACTAATCAAATGCACTGAGAGACACACTTTATTATATGTGGTACAATAAAATAAAAGAATTGTTTTATAGAAACATAAGTAATAGAAATTAGTCAACTTCTCATGTTTAAGCTACAAATGATAATCATGTATATTTAAAAAAACATTGTTATATGTGTGTACAATAAAATAAATGAATTGTTTTATAAAAAATAAATAATAGAAATTACTCAACATTTCCAGTTCTAACTACAAATAGTAATCATGTGTATAGAAATAGACATGAGTTAAACTACAAGCTTCAATGAAGTGAGTCTGAAGCGGAGTAATATTGTGTTTTTTGAGAATAAATGTATCGATGTGGTACATATAGAGATTAATCAATAAACGTGATTGGAAGGCTATGCTCATCTCAAGGATGTGATAAGCATTGTTAGGTCAATTAATCAGAAGAGGATTGTACGTGAAAAGCTAATATTGTTTAGTCAATTCCGTATGATGACGAGCATGTTTATTGTAATCTCTCTCCATTGTTGCACGTGTTTACGTTTTCTTTTACTATTGACCACTGATTAAATTTAGAGATTACATGAACATTGATTAATAGTAAAAGTTTACGGTAGTGTTGTAGAGGTTATACCCCCTTTGAAAAACCCCAAGTTAATGAAGCCCCAAATGTTGATTTTTGGTATACTTTAGAATATATAACTAACTATTATACTTTGTAGGTGACTAACTTGACTATCAAACAATCCCTTATAAATTTGTCAAGTTTGTGAGACTCGATGAATAAGAAATAAAAATCATGTGATTAATAAGAATCACAAATCAATTACTCTAGATTGAAAATGATGAAGTTTTAGTGCAATCAGGAAAGGAAAGTGAACAAAGTTTAGAGAAATGCGGACATCATAAGTTTACAAACGTGAGATGAAAGAGATTAGACATTGAGTTTAAACAAAAAAAGCACGTGAAAAAGATATGAAAATGATTTTATAAATAGCTGTTTTTTTAAATTACATTAATTGATACATTTGAAAATGGATGGATCAAATACTTAAAAGCCTTATGTTTTAAGACTTGTTAGATTACTTTAGAAATATTATATTGATAAGTATGTTAGATTGTTGAAAATCTATTTAATTTGTGTTTCAATTCATTTGTGGTTGGTTGATGTTAAGGAAATTTCGCGCTAATTTGTTTGATTCTGTGTTGTCTTACACAACAGATTCGGTAAATTACTCTGGTGCCCTTTAAATATTTTCCCTACCACAACAAACTTACAAAATTCATTTAAAATTATTATATAAATTAAGACAGATCAGAAGCATCATAAAATAAATAAAATTAAGAGAAAATTATTTCTCATATGACTAAAGGAGTATTTATATATCAATTCTATGACCTAGTCGTGTTTCCCTAATTTGGTAAGAGAATGACAACTCACGTTCCATATGTCATTACAAAAAAACATCCGTTTTGTCACGGAAGTTTGTCACAGATCTGAGCCGTGACAAAATTGTCACGGACGTTGTCACGGAAAAGCTTGATTTGTCATGAAGATGGTTTGTCACGGACAAATTCGTGACAAAATCCGTGACAACTCTTTGTCACGGCTTTTCATCCGTGACAACATTCCTCCGGTTACCGGCAATTTACTCCGGCCAACGTTTTTTCACTTCCGGGCGTTTGTGACAAACCCCAATAATTAATACTCCAACGATCACATTTTAAAGTTGTATGAATAAGTGTTTGTCACGGATTTATCCGTGACAAAATCCGTGACAAGTTATATATATATATGGCAGTGTAGTTTCATTCAATTGATTGCATACGAGTTAAAAATCAATGAGACTACGATACAATATATGTTGAAAGATTGAAGGATGTAATCTATCAGTTTATCATTTCCCGTGTTTATGCAAATAAGGTATATCATTTGAATAATGTATTTTTTTAATAAGTATTAATTTTTTTATTTTAAATAATTAAAATTGTTAAATTAGTGAGGTTGTTAATTTATCAACAATATATTTAACTATAAACGTAATTTAGCTAAATTTAAATATTAGTAAATTGAAATGGGATTATAAAATTATTAGGTTTGTTTATTAGCAATTATTTTTAATGTCTAATTTAGGATTTATAGTGATTTAATTAAGTTAGAATTGAAACATTAGTTTAGTGTGAATTATTATTGTCAATTACTAATATTTAACAATATTAGATAAATGTAAATTAACATAGTTAAATTAGTGAACTTTAGTTCCGCTACAATATTAGTTAAATGTAAATATTAGTGTGTGTAATATGCCCAGATTTCAACAGTCGAATAATCTAATAATAATTGAAAGAATTATAACAATAGAAGAGAAATTTCACCAATAACGTATACCGTGTATATAGAATGATGAATCAATGAAGAACAATACACAGTACTCGAACAAGCTAGAGAGAGAATTTCTAGTCTACGTGCTC